TATTAACCGTTGCGTTTATTCATCTAACGACAAGAAAATGGAAAAACATAAGAGACAGAGGATCTTTAATAAGAATAATAGAATCTATTGATTCTATAAAATCCGGAGTTGTATCATGTGTTATAAATATAAGTTCTATTGAAGTTACGGTGTATTTATTGTTGGCTTTATCAGCAACGGCGACTTCGTGGGGATTGACCAAAGGAATAAGTACAAGCAAAATTGTCGGCACATGCGTTTATAGTGAAGGAAATACTCATGCTCTGATAAATTGCACAAGCAATCAAGCTTGTGGATTAAATTCATTCGCTATGGGTGGCCTTGCCCCGACAGGAATTGTAAGAACAACTACATTAGTGAAAAACGGAATCGATAATAATATAACAGTTTTAGGAAATCCAAGTTATGCTATTGCGGCTCATGTTGGAAGAGACTTATTGTTTTCTACAGATGAAGTGAGTATTTACAATCTAAGCGCAATTGTAGTAAATACTTCTTGTATGACGACTGAAAATTTTGTTGGAGTATCTATGGCAGCTGACCCATTAATAAATATGACAAGCTTAGATAACAACTTCAATTTCCATTTCAGCCCTGATACTGTATCAGATTTCCAAGGATTATACGTCTTGGATAGAGATTTATTTGCTTTTGCTATTATTTTAGCCGATCGAATTCGAATGCAAAGTACAGATACTATTCAAGTAGGATGGCTGAATCATACACAGAAAACTCTAAGAAGTAATATAGTAACTCTTGCACAATGCAATTACACAGCAAGAATCGGGCTGGTGGATATTACCCAGAAAAATAATTCATTACAAAGTTCGATAAAAAATTTGAAACCCCTCAGCGAAGCAAATGTTGAGACATTAAATATTCAAATGAGCGGATTTAATTTTGATTCTTTGACCATATCAAATGGAAATTCCAATCCAGAAATTGATCCTTACAAATATGATGGAAGATACATTTCTGGATTAGAGACGGACTTTGCTAAATACATGGCCGCATCGTCTATGGTTCTCGTAGATATACTATTGGCACAGGGTTATCCCTCTAATAATTTAGCGTATACCAATGACACATTTTCGATAAAATCTTGTGACAATATTGAAGCGACGATCATACAATACTGGCCTTTATTGTATGTTTGGTTATCTATTAATATTATTTCATTACTAATATTGATATTATTCACGGCAAAGGGGATATCAGAAATAAATATTACCTGTTCTGGAGTAGAATTGAGCACTTTGATATGGCAAGCATTGACAACAAAGTGGGGGTTAGCAAGATTATTATCGAAAGGTCACTGGAATACGGATCAAAAAAATGCATTTTTATCAAAAATGGACGTGATACCAGAGAGATTGGAAGCTTCAAGGAACCATTTTGGATTAACTTCTTTGGACGGGGAAAATGAGATTTATTAATCTTACGTGGACTAGTATAGATTTTTTCTGAAGCTACAATATGCTAGCAGGTTTTCTATATTCTATTTATGTTTTGTTTTATTTACTGTATGTTAACGGTTTTATATTTTATATTTATGTTAGCTTTATATTGATAGTAATTTTTATGTTTTTATAAATATATGTATCGTGCGAATAAATTATCACAAGCAAATTATGAAGATGTTCAATATTTAAATTTAATTAGGCGTTTTTATTGAATATGAAAATACAGATAACATTGTTCAACTATGCCAGTTCCATTAATACGTATCCGTGAACATAAACGAGATAAAAAGAAATTCGTACTTCTGATCTGATAATCTTACAAAAAAAAAAATAAGAAATCGGATAAACCACATGAGTAAAAATTTTGGAAAAAATATAATTCAAAGAAAGTGGTTCCATAAAATACTTTCATATTCATATCGATTTTGTTTGTATCGGACTTAAGAATATTATATAATTTAATTCAGAAAATATGATAACTTCGGAAGACATACCATGTTGCAGTTGCGCAATTATCATCAGCTTCTTTCTTAACCTTATGCATACTAACCATTAAGATAGGTTCACCATTACACATATTGTAAGTTGCAATTTCTAGAATACATAATAGAGTTTGATGCAATGACACTGATACATTATAAAATATTTGAGTTATAGTTACAGTAAGTTGCAGTAATTTTTTCTACTATATATAGTAATTGTAGATATTATCGTCGTGTGAGTGGCTTAATACTTTTGTACTGCGGACATGTGAATCTCATGTTAAGTGGAGTGGCTGAAAAGTTTTGCTTATTTGACTTATATTAGTAAAAGAAATCATTATAAACCTTTGAAGTAGTTCTACTTTTATGTAATGTTGCAACCAGTTTTTTCAATTTTATAAAAATTGATCTTAAAAATATTATTGACAATTAAATTAATTGAATATTTTTTGTTAGAGTTTTAAAATTTTTAAAAAAAATTTTTATATTGTTTTTTAATTTTTTGAAAATAAAAAAAAAATAACATAAGTCTGAACTGTAAGATCAATATAATAATAATTTAGCTTGGTTCTGATTCATCAAGCCTTTATTTATATTATTAATTTTATATAATAAATATTATTATAATAAAATAATTTTTTTTTTTTTGGATTAACTAGCTAGACCTTGCCTAACGTACTTTATTTAATTTACATTTGTATTTCTATTACAAGAATTACTATATATAAATTATTCTAGATGCACATTAGACTATATCGGATCTCTCCCATATCGGCTTGTTACTATTGACATTGTTCCTAAGGTACTTGTCAAGGCTAACGTGCCAAGGCTCCATTAGTGTTATTATTATATGAGTAAAAAAAATTGAACAAAATAATATTCTTCCCCTGGTCTAGCCAGTTATCTATGATCCTTCTTTGTATATTTATGATTTCTTCCTGTTTCTCCACCCTGTTTTGTTGGCTTGATTGTGTCGCGGACATGTTATTTTGTGTATATCCTGTGCTTTTCCTTCTTTTGTCTTTCCTGTCAATATTCTCTTTTTTTTCCCATTGTTGAAATCGTTCGCATCTTTGAGTTCAGAACTTTTGGAGTACCTCTGTCATTCTATTTGTCACCTTCTTGAGTATCGCTTTAGTCTTTGTCCCGTTTACTTGTGTTACTAGTTTGGTTAGGTCTTTGCTATATATGCCTTTAATTATGTATCTCATATTTCTTTCTGATTCATTTATTATTTGTTCTATTTTGCCTTGCCAATTGGAACTTTTCTCCTTGTCTTCTATCCTGCTTGATATTTCTTCTTTCAAGATTTTGATGTACTTTGATCTGACTTGCCTGGCGTAATGCTCTCTAAAGACATGTTCTGTGGTTTCTTGTTGGTTGCATCAGGGGCACTTACTATCCTTATAGAGATCTGGTTTTCTTGCATTTAGTTTGTCTTTTGTTGGTAGTTCGTCATTCAAGAGTTTATATCTGAATGCTCTAATGTTGTGGTCCTGTTGGTTGGTATCGAAGCTGGTGATCTTTGTTGGTACAAGGTTGGCCCATGTTCTTTTCCAATCTATTTCTCTCTCATCTCCTGTTTTGAGCCATGCCTTGTGTCTCTTTTGTGTGGCCCATGTGCTAATCCATTTGCTATTTTGCCATTGTTTCATAAATTCATTTGTGCCGATGTTCAAGTCTTTTCCATTCCATTGTAATATACAAACAAGGCTTTCGATTCGTTGGCTGTTGATGTCGACTATCCATTCGTAGCCAAGTTCTCTTCCTTGTTTTGCTAGTTCATCTGCTTGTTTGTTGTTTTTGTCACCTGAGTGTGCTTGGATTTTCTTGAAGCTCGTTGGTGCTTTCCTGGATTTGATCTTGTCCATTATGAGAGTTGTCATTAGCAGGTTTGTCCCTTTTGATATTCTTTTCTTTCCTGATAGTTTGGATTGGGTTGCTTGTATTGCACATTGACTGTCTGTGTATATTGTTGCCTTTGTGTTTGTATTTATCACTGCTAGTGCTGTGAGTATTGCCATGAGTTCTGCTCTTGTGGAGGATGGAAATCCTTCACATCTGCCTTTGAATTCAACTTGGAGTTGTGTTTCTTGGTTGATTATTATCCCACCTATACCCATTTTTACCTGCCTATTGGTATATTTGTCGAGTGATCCGTCTGTATAGATGTCTACTGTCTCCCAGTTGTAGATTATTTCTTTTATCTTTTCCAAATCTTTCTTAATTTGATGTTGAAGTTTGAGTTCTAAAACCTCCCCTGTGTGTGATTGTGTACTTTTGTGTTGTCAATTTCGATGTATGGGATGTCATTCCTTTCTGGCAGTGTGTGGCTCCAGTTGTGAATCTGTCTGATGGAGTTTGGAGAGACTTGGATCCGTAGTAGGTTTCCTATTATCAGGTTGAATGTTTTTGAACTGTTTTTTGTCTTTTTGACTGGAATGGCGATTGCTTCTTTGGTGTTGATTTCTCTGATGCATCTATTTGATTTTCCTTTTGTATCCATCTCACACCCCTTGCATTTCTCGATGGGGGAGTCTCCCGATATTTGTACAAAGTGTTGGGCATTGAATGCATCCTTGAGTATTCTCGCTCTTTTGTTGACTTTCCCTATGTAGATGTTGTGTTCAATGATGGTGGAGATGTATTTGTGTTTCCGGATGCTGTTTTGATTAGTCAGGTCACATGTGGCAAAAATGTTTATCATGACTTTAGGGTGGTAATCTTCTTTCTCTTGGAACCAGTATATGATTTCTTCAAATCAACGTGGTTTCCATCCTATATATTTTGCCCCAGATCGTGTTTTGAAGTGTGTCCATGTGATACAATGTGAGTTTGTCGTGTTGGTTATTTGTTCAATAAAGAAGAGATTATGTTTCCTCAGGTTATTTCTGTTGTTATTGTACCACTTGCTCGGCATGAAAGTTTCCAAAGGTGTCCAGCTGCTTTGTGATATTGGTATTGTCAACTTGAACCTGTTTGTTACTTTAATGCTAAGATTGTTTGATTTAAGGAGATGGAGAATATTGGCTGTGAAGTTCTGATGAGGCAGTACTGTTATCTTGTATTTTGTGTCCAGAATGTTGTTGGTTGTCCATGCCCAGTTTTGCAGCTGTTGGAGTCTTGCTCTTGTGACTTGACCTGTAATATTCTGATCATTGAGATCTTGTAGCCAATGTGTTGATTGTAGTTTTAGTTGTCTATCATATATGTTGAAAATTTTGTATCCTGTGTGGAGGTGGATACCACTATTGATGGCTGTTATTGGGAGTCCTATTTTGTGTTTAAAGATTGATATGATTCTGCTGTTAATTTGCTCGTATTCACTCTGAGTTAGTACTGTATCTTGGATAAGGTATTCGAGTGCTGGCATAAGGACTTGATTGACTATGTAGCGGAATTGCTTGTCTGTTATTCTTTTTCCCCTTAGCAATCTTGTGATGAAGGCGGTTTTGTTTGAGATTATTTGTTTTTGATGTTTCTTTGATCCTGAGCTTGTTATCCACGTGCCTAGAATCCTTATTGCAGTGTTTTTCCCTTGTGCTTGGATTGTGCTTCCTTGTATGGTAATAACAGGTGTTTTTGTGTTGTTTATTGTGATTAAGACTGATTTGTCTGGATTAATTTTGAGACCAGTGATATTGGCAAAACTTCCGACCAGGCTCTGTATCTTCTGCATCTTTTTTCGGGAATTTGAGAACCATGTTGTGTCATCCATATATGAAATTGAGGAGATGTGGATTTTTTGATAGTGCCATGTTCCAAAGCATGTTGTTGGAGTTTTGGTTTCCATGATGTATCCTAGTTTGGAATTATCAATTTTTGTGATAAGTGGGTCATAGTAGATGCGCCAAAGGAGGGGTGATATGGTGTCTCCCTGGTCGATACCTTGTTTAATGGTGAATGGATCTGTGAGTCCATGTTGTGTAATAACTTGGCATATACGTTCTGTAACACATTTCATAATAATGTTGTGGATGGATAGTGAAATCTTGATGCAGTCCATGGCAAGTTTTAACATGTCATGTTTCATCGAATCATAGGCTTTGCTGATGTCTTGGCTCAGCATCCAGAGTTCTTTGTTTGTTTCTCTTGCTTCTTCCATGATGTGATTGGTAATTGTAATCGGTTCATGTGTTCCACCTTCTGGGAGACCTGCCCAGTTGAGGGGTGACAGGACTTGGTGAAGGAGCAGAACTTTTGCTAGCCTGTTGTTGATTATCTTTGTGAAGACTTTTTTAACTGTCTCCAGGAGTGCGATTGGACGGGTTTGACTAAGGTCGTGTTGCCAGTTTGTGTTTTTTGGGATGGGATATGTGAGGTTGTGTTGCCATCTTGAGAGAATTTCCTCTGTTTGTAGGATACGATTGAAGAGTATTGTGAGTCTTCTTATGCCTGCTGGTCCCAGGTGTTTGAGAAGTGCATAGTTGATCTGGGATTTTCCTGGAGCTGATTCGGCTTTGGATTTCTTTATTGTTTCTTAAACTTCTG